CGCGGGATTTCTTCAAGAAATTTCCTTTATTTTGCTCACCTTCGTATTTGCACATAGGTTGGATTGGCGTAGACATCGAAATGGACTCTTTTCCAAAGCTTTTGTCATTCCTGAGGTTTCACTTGGTGTTGAGCGGCTTTAGATAACCTTTCCGCTTGAAAAAGTAATGCGATTTTCGGCGAGGGTGCTGGCGTTAAGTGCTCCACCCTCTGCTTTTCTCCCCTGGATTAGAGGTTTCTTGTTCTTAAGTGGTGCCGCCTTTCGCTAGTCTTTCTCACTTTCACGCAATGATTTTCCGTGTTACTGCTTAGAGACGTGGTTTTGGCTCTGAAATTTCGGTTTCGAGCTAGTTTCCCCATGATTTCATTCATTCTTGAACCTACTTTTTCCCTCTGCTCTCTCATTTTTGCTCATAATTGAATTTCCGACCCATTTCCTCGTTGCTTGCGTTTTCTTTGATTTGTCTGTTGACGAGGTGTGCGAATCGATTGCTCATTCGAGAAGGTGCTTTGAGACCGGTGGTGAGTGCTGAACTCTGATGTCAAGTGGTGAGAAATTCCCAGACACGTGATTCTCGGCATCAGGTGTACTCAACGATCTGATGAGTAGTAATCACAAGTTCGTGATTAATTCTCATTTGAACTTATTGTTATTTCGTCTCCTCGTTCTTTTGTCGCTGAAAAATTTTAACTTCATAGTAATGTACCACTTCCTTCATTTTTTTCTTTATTTTTGAATTTGCATTGATTTCTCTGGTTATTTCTTTTCAAAACTTCTTTGTATCGATCATCTCCTTCCTCATTGTATTACCACCATTCTTCTCTTCGCATTTCCAGAGAAAATTCGGGAACATCTTTACTTCGCAATTTTTAAAGATTTCATCATGTTTTTAAAGTTTTTTTTTGCTTTCCATGTTTTTTTTTCGTACTTTCGGAGAAACGAGTCATGGAAGGGGGGGGGGGAGACGGGAGGAAGGAGAGGGTATTCGATGCGGTCACCGTGAAAATTGTCGTTTTACCTTGTAACTTCTTTTTTCAAGGTGGTGGATGTACGTTGATGGTACAAAATCCTAATTTTGTCTTAATATCTCTGCAGTGAGATGACTTGGTCTGCTGGCTGTGAAAATATGGTCAATTTTACATGATAAACCCTTAGAATGTTACCTTAGGCTGAAGTTAAAAGGTTCCCAAGTAAAGCTTTAATCATAAAGCTTTCCCAGAGGCCAGAGAAAAAATTGAAAAGAGGACGAAGTTTTTAAATATAGGTTTTTATTATTGATTAAAAATATCGATTTTTATTTTTTTAATTTTTAAAAAATTTTAGAATCGATTTTTCTTTGGCCCCACCCCCAGCCCCGCCCACTTTCGGTCTGGCCCCCCCCTCCCCCCCTCTGGAAAAATTTCTTCGCGAACACAGTCCCATTTTCGTCCTGCGAGTAATTTTGAGCTTAAATTTCGTAGTTTTCTCCTCTTGACATTGGCAAGTCCAGTACCTGTCTGTCTTAGTTTTGTATTTCTTGTGAACTTCGTATTCTTTCATATCTTCGTCTTCCTTGCGTTATTTGCGAGATAAACTAAGATAAGCGATTTCACTGCCGAAGATTGAGCTCAGGGTGGTCATTCATAGTTGCCAGCTCAAGATGCCTCTAACAAGTTGCATTGGCGAGCCATAAAATGAGCCAACTTAAGGTTCATCAAATTATCTACGTGACGAACAACTAACAGAAGCTCAGTATGAAGTGGTAAAGGGTGATAAAAGTTTATTTAGACACGAATGAGTTTTGGAAAACTATAGCCTTTATTATTATCTCGACGCATCGCTTCTAGTACGGTGTGCAAATGTGGCTTAACACTGCCCTTCTCCGTCTTATTTCTTTCCCAAGACATGTAACAGCCCCGGTGGGGGTAGCTATGATTTTCTGCAGTCCGTATTTTTTCTAATCGAGACGGATTTAATGTACTAACACCAACCGTTCCAGGAAGAAAAATGGTCGGATGATAATAGCACCGAACTAGAATTCGTATTTCTGCCTAACAGCGCTAGCTGCATTCTACGCAACGAGATTATCTGCATTATATATCATAAGGCGAGATTAACGTTGATGTAACTATTTGTAAAAGTGGTTTCCTGCTAAAAATTGTGTTATTATGCATACATAGGTCGTTCCAGTGTTCGTTATTCATCCTCCTCCTTTGCTTTGTAACAACTACAACACATACCTAGCTACTCCTTGTCGACTACGTCTTCTTAGCAGACATTTGCCTAAATGCAGATACTCTACAGTTACTCAAAAATTCCGCTAGATTGCCACCTCGACTCATTATTCTCCAACCATTATTCTACTCTGATTTGTTTAAAAACGCCACTTTCATGCAAGACTCTATTAACCTTACTAGCAAGTGGTAAACCCTGAAACTACTATGGACTAGTCCATTGAATAAATGCGAAGAAGATCGACCGGTTATGGAGTTCTTTCTGCTAAGAAACCTATCGGCCAGTACATTAGCCGTTCTCCAAGCCTAAAAGAAAAACTGGATAAGTAATAATAATTGGTCTGCAAACAGGCGTAGAAGCTTTAATTATTATTGGCTCATTCCGAACATATACTAAAATTAGAACAATACAGAGAAGACCAGCATGACCTCTGCGCAAGGATGACATGCAAGGAAATACCAGATTAAACTGCATAAGCGTTCCTTTGAAAAGCGGTGACATCCATTTTCCAATCTATAGATGTGTCTGCAGCTTCATCTTCGGCGATACATTTCGGTTTATTAGCTCAGGTTTCACTTATGCTAATGCAACACGTTACCTGTTCTAAAATCAGAACCTGTTAGATAGGAATATATACACGCTGTGTGATGGCATTGGAATGATTTATTTCTGGAAAAGCGCGCGAATGGTGGTGCACGTTGAGATTCATGAAAAGCTGTAGCAAATCTGCAGAAGCATAGCTTCCACAAAGATGCAATAATCAAACTCAGATACAAATAACTGTAATCGGATCTATAGCGAAAAAAGTTTCAATATCACGGAATTAGCATTGACGCACTCGTCAATGCACGAAACTCAAAAGGACATGGCATCAATCAGAAAAAGGCAGAAACTGCATACGACATATAATAACGCTTCGAAAGGGAGAAGAAAGAACTGCACTATAAACTCTAGGAAAAGTCACTATGTACGATGTGTATAATTTTCACCCCGAGGTAAAAGGGAAAACAACGACGTTATTATTTGCATTAACACATCAAAGAAAAAGGCGATTCTTCAGAAAAAAAATTTGAGATCACCAGAGACCGTATGTGGACCGGGTACATTGCACACGAAAGTGAATCGGAAAGAATCAAGAGCACGAACATTTGCGGGCAATCATGCCCGGAACTCGCGCCATCGTCACTTGATTATCGGCATTCATGTAGATCATTCGAACAGCGTCATATCTGAAAAATCGAAGATGATATTTACACAAAGAATAATTGGTTTTTGAAATAACGGGGGCATGCGTCTTAGAAACTCATTTTAAACATTTATAGGAGAATTTTAAATAACAATCTTAGTTCATTTCGGTACTGTGCATACGTGCAAAGGTACCGAAATGAACTGAGATTACAACAACCATTACCAAAGGTATGTTGTTCTATTAAAGCGTTTTCCCGGATGAGATTTCTCATCCCGACGAGCGTTCGCGCCAAGACGCTATAGCCATGCGCAAAGCATGGCCGAAGATACCAGCCATTTCTTCTTTGATCATTCTTTATATTTTCTTCAAATTTTCCATTTGTACACCTTGAACTTGCAGCTCCTAAGGGGGAGTATGACCTATTCAACGTAAAAGAAGGAGGTTACAGCATGTGTCATTGAATATTGATGGCTCCTGAATTCATTTTACCTTCTGTTCGTTCGGAGAAGCAGTCCACCACCACTACTGCAACGATCGCGCGTGTGGACGCGACGTTGGCTTAGCGGTAGAGATGTGCAGTAATATAGCGAAAACCAGGAACTCAAAACAAGGAAGAAATTTCGGTCGTATGAGATGGCAGCTCGTTATTATCCTTTAATGCTTGCGCGTCGTAAAACACGGTAAATAAACGAGCAAACGAATATAAATGAACAAAACGATGCTTTCTTTTCAAAAACTTTCCCAGAATCATAGATAGTCCCTTGATAGCATATTAGAGTGAGGGAAAACTCGTTTACTGAAATGTTTTGGCATATGCGACATAGCTTGCGAAGGCCCAATCTCCATGAAAAAAAGTGTGCGCGTAAAGATTTGCAGGCGTTAAGCGAGCACGATTTCGAATCCGTCATGAAATATAAACAGTATGATGATACCTCGAAAAACAGACAAAAATTTAAAAATTCATGGTGTGGAAAAATCTTAGACCTCATCCTCAGTTGCCATTTTATTATCCAGCATCAAAAGAAAAAACATGTTGGAAATGGTCTATGGTTTCGCACTTGTGTTTATATTCCTTGTTTCACGATTTGCGGTCCATCGCTAAGTGTGCACAAATTGGTACCCAGACAAAAATATTCATTAAGAGTAGTACTATATTTATTTATGCGGAATTAGTGCCACGCGAATCAGTCGCAATAACCAAAACCAGAAACCTTTTATTTATCGTGCTTCAAGAACCACATTTTCTGAAGTGGATGAGGTTATACGGCACACAAAAACACCTTTTAGCTAGGGTAATGGTAGAGAAAGGTTGAAGTGTTGGAAACGAAGAAAAAAATAGGAGAAGAGAGGGGGTGGATGGCTAGTATGACATCATACTTCAAATAGGATGTCTAAGACGTCATCGAAAAATAAGATCCTGTCTTTCTGGACGAGAGTAATGTTTAAAAAGCACCATATTTACCGTCCATGTATAAATATCCGCAGCTGAACTTTGCAAAAAAGGCGCTTTGAAGGGCCAAGCATTGGAAAATTCTTTTTGCATCTGTGAGGACAACATTCTTCGGATTCGCTTGATACCCTTGCATGAGACTAATGCCTGGTCAAACAGCCTTTCTATAGCTTTATCAGCAAATCCTGGACAGAATTAACCCAAGATGTCCTAACATGAGTTTTACTTCATAACATCTCTAATCTGTGGCCGTATCCATGAACGCGCTGGAACGGGAAGCGGCTAAGCAGCCGTTTGTTCCTGGATCACTGTCAAACTGCGAGCTTCCAAAAATAGCTGCATCATGAAGAACCTTTTCCGGCTGAACCAGAGAAACCTTGAAAATTTGCTTTTGCATAAGCGAAGGCAACTTTTTTTTCGGGTTCGTCTGTAGAGTGGAAAGGCATAAATCTGCCAGATCTAAATACAGGATCAGAAGTTTTCTCATTCATAATATGCAGCTAGGTGACGCCTAGATCCTCCTGTAAGCTCCCATATATTTAATGGGATGATTTATTTTGATCCAATAACGCACATAATGGCGTAATGAAAAGAAGTAGATAGCATAGAAAACTTGTGTAACCCGACGTAACCCGACCAATAACTAAAAACGTTTTCAGGCGCAACAACTACCATTTTAATGTTATACTGTCCTCATTTTTAGTTGCCCTAGAATGCATCCATTAACTAGCGGTAATCCCAATTTTGCGCACGCATTTTCGGCATAAAATGTCATAAAAAATCTTAGATAGCAATAACATTGAGTACAATTAATGATATTCGAAAGTGCAGTTTAATTTGAGCGCACAGAGCCATAAACAAATTTTGTTGGGGACAAAATGGCACCCATCTGTTTTTAGGAGGTGTCCTTCGTTGTGCAAGTTGTTGCAAGACATTTGCAGATAATCAAATTTAAAAGAACAGCTACGCTTGCAGAATGTGCAAAACATAATTGCATTAGAGTGCAGAAGTAGCAGCCGGTTGTATACTGCTGTTCGGCATAGTTCGTACGCCTCCTCAATGACTACTTCTTGTAGCTTAACTTAGATGGTGCTTTTAAAAAACATGCTTTAAAGACGCTCTCCCCGAATGCAGAAAAGCCGCAGCAAAGATCAGAGTGTTTTACTCGGAAATGGCTCACAGATTGGATATGCCATCAGAAAGGCCAAAGCGTGAGATTCTAGCATTTGACATTTACCTTAATTCAAATTCAGCGACAAAATTGATGATGTATCGTCTTATTTCCGCTGTTCTAGCGTAGGAGAGTATTTTTAGGCACCGTATTCCATAAATCTTTAAGGCATGCATGATTGCGTAAAGTGTACTCTATTCTTCACGGAAATATGGAAGAACTGTGATTTTCATGTTTTTCGAGTAATTTATAGGTTAAATACCAAGACACTGTAAGTGCACTAACACCTCAAATGGTCAGTCTTCCAGAAGCGCATCGTTTCTGGTCGGAGATAAAATGCACATCAGGGGCCGTATGCATATATTCCCGCGAGGGGGAGCTACAGCACACCATCCCCTAGTTCGCAGTAGGAGAAAGAATCGCTTTGCGGGGGGTGAGGGGGGGGGACTGGATCTTGACATCTCTGAAATCCTGTGCGAGGAACCGCCCGTGTCGTTCTTCTCTCCCGCAGACTGCTTTTTAAGGACGGTATGCATACGACCCCAAGAAACCCATACAAAGCTGTTTCTCCCAAGTTTCATCGTGCACCCATGCCCAAAAACCATGGAAAAGCCAAGCTATAGGCTCCTTCCAGATCTTAGTGTTGTTTCCGCATGGGAAAACTTGTTAGTAGGATATACATGGTTGTAAATATGCTATTATTTTTGAGTTAATTTATTTAGATCGGAATAAGTGCAGTGTTTTACGGAAAATCGGATAAGAGCAGCACTTTTCTGAGCGGTATAGAGGTTTGGCCATCAGGGTAGGTTGACATAAACTTAAAACACAGAGAAGCGCCTGCTGATCTGTGCTCTACAGTAAGGCTAACGGGATAGTCTATGCACTGTACTCGCTCCCAGACCCCTTGCTGCCCCCGTTTCCTGCTAGCCCCTTTTCTCGGGTCGCGGTTTTGAAAGCAACCTTGAACAACCTCACGTCGTAATCGCTTTGGTATCTTAATAGCTCACCGCATAAGGATAGCCTGCTACGAAAATGCTTGGTTAAAGCGCCACCTATCCCGAGACATTTCCAGTATGCAGTTTTGCGGACCGTCAGAAACGTCCGGTAGTCCCTTCTCCCCTGCCTCCGCATTCTCTATGCTTCGTGCAGTTGCGTTTACCCCACAACCGACCGTGGAGACCGTAACATGAACCACTACCGCCTTGCTCACAGCTATATCATTATATATAGCTGCAGCTACCCGAAGATTATGCAGTAGAAGGTTACTGGAATTCTAGTGTTGACAATACGCGTCGAATCAAACCTTTCACGTCACAAGACCATATGTTGTATAACTACCGTTAACGACCCTATTGCTACTATTCATGATTAAAGTGCCGTATTTTTCTCGATGTCTGCTGCTTATTATAGCACTTTAGAAGAAGCTTCCTTCTGAGCGTATGACGAAATCCTCTTAGGAATGCTGGCGTCGACCTCAATAATCTCGTCCATATCACAGATTTGTCAGAGACTCCGCTCAAGCTCATAACAGATGAAACTTTCGAAATATAAGGAATTCTGATAAGCTATTCTATTTTGGTGTACTCATTGACTTTCGGATGCGGAATATGTCACATAACTGCTTCAAGGTAAAAACAGCACATGGTTTCAGTTTTTG